AACTGTTAGTGAGCATGATTCCGAGCTATTTGGAATATGTTCAAAATTAATTTTGGAGAAAAAATTACTGAAGAACATCTCTTGCTGAAAATCTTTTTCTACCTTCCATACATCTTTTCTATAGCATTAATATCGTGAACATGTTTCAAAAAGTACTAACAGCTCATATTTTGCTTGCTTGTATCTGAACCAAATTATGAATTCTTGGTGAAAATTCTTGGGTTATGTCTAACTGATTTTGTACCATTGCCTTACATAAAATGGTATTGCGCTGCTTGATGTAAATGCAATATCAAGACAAAGAAGTAAACATGGACATAAACATGAATTTGGATGTGGACGCAAAAGAAATCATGGACAAAAATAATCAACAATACTATTAGTAACATAGCAACAATTTCAAAAGACATAAAGCAAACAAAAGTAGCATATCATAAAAAGAGTACGAATAAATTTGTTTTAGATATGGAATGAAAGAGTATTGTAACACATACATGTCATACAACAAAATATTTTATGGAGCTCTGCCAAAAATTAATCAAGGCAAAAGAAAAAGCGAGGATAAAATTCATTGATTATGATGATCCAACAACTTATGTGACTCACTTCGTTTGATCGGAGGCGGTATACTCGATACTATTGATTAATTTATTTTTCAATATCTTAGTAGTTTATTTTGATTTGAAAGTGTCTTAGGTCTTTTTTTTTTTTTTTAAGTTTTAAATTTTTTACTATTAAATTATTTTAGTTAATTAAAATATTGCTTAACTCCTTTCCATTATAAAACCAATTTTTCTAAATATTTATTTTGCAATGCTTATAAATTCATGCTAAATTGTCAAAATATCTGCTAATTGATAGTAAAACTGCGTATACTATTTTTCAGGATATTTTTTTGGACTTAACATTAATAGAAAATAATGTTAATACGATATTAGGTGCATTAGATGTCGTTGAAGGCTCCGAAAGAGCTTGTATTATTTAATATATATTGACGATGCATAAGAAATTTATTCAATAAAATATATCCATTGTAATGGATATCATATTGAGACGATACAAGAAAATAATATATAATATCTTTGCACAATTTCTTTTTGTTTTTGACCAAAAATAGATAAGTGGAAAACTCATGGCACTCCCTTCTGATATGTACTATACATTAATAAAAATGATTGAATCATAACATTATCATGAACCCGAAATTCGTTGACCTCACAAGTTTTATATTTTGACATAATCGACTTGGACATTCAAGAGCTACAATGATGCATCGAAATAAACAATTTACATAGATATTCTGTAAAGAACTAGAAGATTCTTTTACTTAATGATTATCCGCATGTTACTTGTTCGCAAAGTAAGTTAATAATTAGATATTTAGCTACAAAGGTTAACGTTGAATCTCCAACTTTTTTGGAAAGGATTCATATGTGGGGCAATACACCCAACACGTTAACCATTTTGCTATTTTATGATATTAATTGATTCTTCTATTAGATAGTCACATATTTGGTTACTTTCATTGGAAATGTAGCTTTCATTAGACTATTTGCTCAAATCATGAAATTACAAGCTTAATTTTTCGATTATTCAATCAAGACAATTCTTCTTGATAATGTTAATAAATTTACATTATAAGCATTCGATTATTACATTATATCAACTGTGATTGTTATTGAATATTTGCTTGCATATGTCCATACACAAAATTGTTTAGTGAGGTTGTTTATCAAGCATCTACAATTTAGTGTTATACTATTACTTATGCAAACAAAAGTCCAACTTCCACTTAGGGTATTACTATATTATATGATGCATCGTTGGTTCTTATAAAGACCAATTGCTTATTATTAATATTCACTTTTGTAAATTGAATTTGGTTATGAACCCAATATTTCTCTCTTATAGTTTTAGATTGTGCAGTCCAAATCTCTTTCTCATACCACAACGTACTAGATGGGTCCCCACCAAAAACTTAAAATTTATATTGATTTTAATTCACTATATATTATTATGACTCTTGAACCTTTAATATGCGATTTGTTTACTGCACATTTTGCAAAATGTAATTTTGATGAAATGATATTTCTAATTAAAAACAAGCTCAAATTTCTTGAAATGAAACTGTTTTATCTCACTTTGATCCCCGTAGCAACAATGTGAGCCAAAGATTGAAAAAAATCATTCATCTGAGAAGAGTTGCACATCAATTACTTAATATATTTGTTGACACAGGAAAATAGATAAAGTTATATATACAAATAGAAAATATTTCAACAAAAATCAATGTTCCTATAGGACAATCTACTATAGAAAATGAATTTCAAATACACCAAAAGCTACAATAATGTGTCTAATAATGTGTCCACCAATTTCAATAAATTATTTATTATCTCATAAATTAAAGCCATCCAAGAGCTACAATAATGTGTCTAATAATAAACAATTTACATGGATATTCTATAAAGAACTATAAGATTTTTTTACCTATTGATTATTCGCATGTTGCTTGTTCGCAAGTTAAGTTAGTCATTAAACCTTAAATTACGAAGGTTAATGTAGAATCTCCAACTTTCTTGGAAAGATTCATATGTGGGCCAATACACCTACTATATGGACCATTTTGTTATTTTTATGATATTAATTGATTTTTCTACCAGATAGTCACATATTTGCTTAATTTTCACAAGAAATGTAGGTTTTATTAGATCAGAAGCTCAATTTCTCGATTATTCAATCAAGACAATTTGTCTTAATAATGTTGATAAGCTTAGATTACAAGCATTCAATTATTACTGTATGTCAAAATGAAAAGAAGTCAAATTGGCAAATTTGAATTCCTTAGAAAAATGAAAAGTATTTGGACCTATAATTCAAACACCTGAAAATGTAATCCTTTTAGAATACAAGTGAGTTTTTGTAAGGAAGATAAATGAAAATAACGATATTACGAAATATAAAGTCCAACTCTTAGCTCAAGAATTCTCACAAAGAGCATGAATTGATTATGAGGAAATATATTCTCCCATAATAGACAACATACTTTTAAATTATTATTTAATTTGACCGTGTCAGAAAAGCTCGATATTCGCATTATAGATGCAGTAAGTATCTACTTATATGATTCACTTCATAGTGACATATATATTTGTGAAAGTCCCTAAAGGACTTGAAGTTTCGGAAACAAATGATACACGTCCGAGAATTACGTTCTTGATTAAATTACAAAGATCATTATATAGATTGAAACAAATATTAGATTTGTAATTGTGAAAATTTATGTTGATAATTTAAATTTGATTGGAACTATTGAAGAGCTTAACAAAATTGTAGATTATTTGAAAATGAATTGAGATGAAAGATTTGGAAAAAAATCAAATTTTGTTTTGAGCCGTAGATTGAATATTTTTCAAAATGATTATTTGTTTATCAACTTCATATACAAAAAAAGTCTTAAAACGTTATAATATGTATAAAACACATCCATTGACATCACCTATAATTGTTTGATCATTTGATGTGAAAAAAAAAAGATCAATTTGGTCACTTAAAGATTGAGAAAATGTTCTTGCTCCCGAAATACTATATCTTAGCGCAATTAGAATAATACCTATCTTGCAAATTGTACTATGCCTGACATAGCCTTCTCTGTAAATCTCATTGCAAGATCTACTCTACTCAAACACATTATAATAATGTTAAACACATTTTTCATTATGTGAAAGATACAATTAACTTGAGATTATTTTATTCTCAAAGGTCGGGATATGCAAATTTAGGTTATTTCTCTGATCAACTTAAAGTTAAATCGCAAACAGGATATGTGTTTACAAGTGAAGGAACAAGTATACCGTGGAGATCCATAAAGCAAATCTTTACAACATCTTCAAATCATTCTGAAATGTGTGATTAGCACATAACGTCCTTATCTTTCATTATTATTGTGAAAAATGTCTTTTCCTTTCATTATTATTGTGGAAAAAGTCTTTAGCTTTTATTTTTGGGCATTTTCACCCTATTACCTTTCATTGGGCAAAATGTTGTTTTCATTTTGCAGATTTTAATTGAGAAAATGGATGATAATGACCTTTTGCGTAATGAAAGGTGAAAAAAAGGGTGAAAATGCCAAAAAGAAAAAGAAGAAAGATAACGATGTTTTCCACATTTAATAGTGAAAGATAAGGACATTATGTGCTAATTACCCTTTTGAAATTATTGTAATTCTTGAGGCAAGTCGAGAATGTGTATAGTTAAGGAATATGATCCATCATGTGAATTAACTTCAACAAAACATAGTTCAACAATTTTGTATAAATATAATACAATTTGTATTGCACAACTCAAAGGGGGTTATATCAAAGTAAATGTACAAAACATATTTTTTTGATTCTTGTATACGCATAAGCTTTAGAAGTGACATTGATATTCAACAAATTCGCTCAAGTAATAATGGGGTTGATTTATTTACAAAAACACCGTCGATATCTATATTTAAGAAATTGTTTCAAGGATTAAAATGAGTCAATACAAAAATTTTTAGTGATCAACATCAGGAGTAGTAGTTATAGTTTTTTTTCTTCGCTTAAGTTTTATCCTGTTGGTTTTCCTAACAAAGTTTTAATCAAACAACATTTATTTTTTAGTACTCCAGAATAACTGTACTATTTTTCTTTAGTTTAATATTTTTGTTCCATTAGATTTTTATCAAATAAGATTTTAACGAAATAGATATTTCAAAACATGTCATTGAAGGGGGAGATGTAAATTGTCTATTAGTGATTAACTACTATACCCTTGCAGCGATAGTTTTCATTATTATTGTATCCCTTAGAATCCTATTTCTTTCTAATAAATATGAGACTTTAGTGCTCAATGAAATATACACCTTTACTACTTTCTTTTTTTTTACTTTCTATTTTATGACATTAACGCATTTTCCAATAAAAAAAAATGGAAATTCACCAAGATTAGGATTAACAAAATTTTGAATTCTGTGGTGCAAGGCAACGAAGGATCTAGTTTGAGTGACTACTGAAAATATCTGACATGATACTTTCTCTAAATAAGAGAAATCGAGAGAGAGGTGAAGTAGACCAAGACAGGATGGACATTACAAGAAAGGGCTAGAGCATTTGACAACACACTCAAGTTAAACGAAAATTTTGGCCCTGAAAGTGTTGTCCAAAACAAATATTAATCTGCTACAATTTTTCAGTAAGCATAATTTCATCATGCCACTGGCAAAAGCCTCCAATCAAAGCATCCCTCATCCACGGGTGCCGGCAACTATCTGCTGCTTCAGATACGGTTAACCATTTCCTACTTCGGGTGTTCTGCTCTGGCCATGATTCGAGCTCTTCCTCGACTAGCATAGCAAACACTGCAGCCTTACATAAACCTTCTGGACTGCATTCATCTTGGTGGCTTTTGCTCTTGAATTGGTAGTAACCAAGAAATTTCTGAACAAAATGCAGATTATCAGAATAATAGTAATATAATTAACTCATAGGGAAAGAGAAAATAATTGTGGTCTAGATGTATAGCTGCTGCAATGAGCAGTGTGATAACATCAATAAACCTTCAAAGACGTCAACTAAATGAAAGTTAATTACATGGAAAATTTATCTTGAATGTTTGGCTCATGATCATAAACTGTATATAAATATACTCAAGCCACTTTTATCAACAAATTTTGAAAGATCAACAAATACTACCCATTTATCTACCACTCTTTTTATCTATTTATAATTTAAACTGTTTATAGAAGTAGCTATCCATAAAGGCAGTCTTGCTCTTCATGGCTCGGCATCACAATCTTCCTCCATCTTGGTGGTTTCAACTCCATTTTGCCTTGCTTGAGAGATCAACTTCAGACTTGACTAAGGCAGAAAGTAGAGGGAGGACACAGGAAGGAGGTGGATAAAGGGAAAGGAGATGATTGGGAGGGAGGGGGAGCCAGGGAAGGGAGCGATAGTGGCGGATTTCTCATTTGTGAAAGACTAGAGAATACTTCGGGAAGACAGTCTATTTTTAATTAAATTTTAGTAAACTTTAATGTCTAAAACTGGTATTTTAAACAAATTCCAGAGTGGGTCTTCACTGTGGCCATTAAAAAAGGGTCTCTTAAAAATACTTGCCAAAATTTTACTAAGATCTAACCCATATCTAGATACTTCATTTACAAGAAATATCTTAATTTAAAGAAAAAATTGAAAGATTCACATCCATGGGGGTGTACAATATGGAACCGCCGAGTCGTTTTATCTTTTGATAGTCCAACTTCTCACCACTGATATTTTTATTGCAATCATAAAAGTATTGAGATGAAAGGATAGTCATCCTTTCCCAAGATATTCTGAACTATCCTTTAGCAGTTGGTTAAATGCTAATTAAAATGGCAGAAATTTCTAACAGGTTAACCTGTTCAAGAAAAAAATTCTACGTACCATATATATTTACCTAATAAATATATATCCAAAACACGTATTTAAGAATTGGTACTACATAGTAATAACTAATGAATTATAACTTTTGCACCTCCGTTTTGATATAGAATCTCAAGTTTTAGTAGCAAAGGAATACTTGAGTTTGAAAGATAAGAATGAGCATGAAATTCTGGTATCGTTAGTTAACAAGAATGGCATGCATCACCAATTTTCAAAAAATAAAGCACATATATTTAATAAATTCTCGAAACTGTTAGTTGGATATGCATCATGCTTGGGTAAGTTTAAAATTATTTAAAACTTACTTTCAAGTAACTGTTTGTTGTGAAGTAGAAATTTTTGCAAGAAGTGCAAAAATGTAAATTAAAAAAACTTCTCACATTTATTTTTCCCCGTACTCCCGCTTCTTCAATAGCTTCCCTAATTGCCGCCTGTTGATCTGTTTCATCAGTCTCCCAGCCTCCCTGGTGAGAGAGAGCAACGTAAAATGACTTCATCTGTTACATACTTATCCAGTTTCTCTTCAAATAAATCACGAAAAGGTCATAAGTCCATATTAGACCAAGAAAGAGAGAAAATATAATAACAGAAGCTAACTGAGAAAAATAGTGGAGGTTCCAGAACTGCTTCCTGAGAGACAAAGAAGAGAATTCATACTTCGTTGACAAACAAACCAAAAATTCAAGGATGAAGCTCAATTAGGTTCTGCATGTTAGACTAATTCATTGATAACAAACAATTATCCATGAATCAACATGCCATGTTCAACCAAACAACAAAAAATTTCCCCTAAAATTAGATCCAGAGGGGTCCGACTTGGGCTGTCTAACTTTTAGATTACAAGAAGCCTCATGCCACTCTTTGGAAAACATAATTTCATAAACTAAACATCTAATGAGTGCAACTAATAAACAGAGCTTGATCAAAGTATTTGTCAAAGTTTAAGAATGCATGGCTATGTACTTCATCAAAATAACTCTTGAAGACAAATAAACATAAAACCCAACCTTACAGTAAAAAAACACATAGCAAACTAAAATGGAAATATTGAAGAAGCTAATACAAGCCATAGGCCATACATGAAATCTCTTTAACTGAAACACAGAAAAATGCCAGGGCAGGGAGAATTTCTATACAAATGTAAAGACCCCATGTTTGTCACTTCTTTTAAATAAGTGCCACACGTGCCAGAAAATTGTTTTCAATTTCCAACACCTTGCTTTTCACAAGAAACAACCTCCCTCATAGTTTCCTGCTATTCAAGCAGAGCCTTGGATACCATCTCTTCACGACACTAATATTGGATTCATAGAATGAATCAGTATTTACGGTTCTCTCATTTTCTGATGATGTTTATTTATTTGAACTTATACATTGGATGTATACATCGGATGTAAGTAACATATGAAGAGGTAATTGACTTCCTGGCAACATGATCGGGTAATGTAAAATTTATGCTTGCCAACCAATTCCTTTCGACTGATTTAAATCCCTTCGTCATTTTTCCAGAAATGAGTGCCAAGTGGCCCAAGTCCAACTAAATGTTACTTTGAAGACAATACTGCTAGATAGTGCTCACAACTTACCAGCAGTATATATAACAGTAGAAGACGACACTTTGAAATACGCTCTGAGCAAATTATTTCATTGAATGAAGTAGCAGAAATAAAGAGTTTCGTAACTGATACCTTTGGAAAAAGAAGTCCTGGACCACTAGGCGAGTTTATCATGAGAACCTCTACAATCTTCTCAGAATCTCTATATCTATATGGAATGCATCTGGCAAACAATATCTTAAGTTAACATATGGTATACTGTTCAACAAAAATACACTTGAAATAAATTTAAATAAACAAAAATAGTAGCTCCCTCGTAACCCTGAGAAATAGCTTAGTGGTTAGGCATGAGTTTGCTTTTCAATGGTAACCAGTTCGAGTCCCTCAGAGCCACTGAAGTGAGTACTCGGTTGTAAATTTCAGTGCTCTGTGAGATTAGTTGAGGTGAGCGTAAATTGGTGTGGACACCCAATGTCATAAAAAAAGAAAATAGTAGCCCCTCACAGAAGCATATAGTGCTAGGTTCGAGTAATATTTCCAAGGGATTAATAGGCAAAATAAATAGAATTAATTGACTGCAACAGAAATTTTGAAATTACGCTCTTCTCAAGGTATGAAAATATAAATGGATACTATGAAGTTTTGGTCATCATAAGTAATCCAAACAAAAGAAAAAACAATTGAGCCAACAAAAGCTCTGCAGGCAGGAAAAAGGTTTGATGATCCACATCCAATTCTAAATCGTAATCCTTATCCAAGAAGAGAATTCACTACCTAAGAAAATTTCCTTCATATCACTATAAAATTCACTAAAATTTTACACGTTTTTAAAGTTGGTAATCTTAGTTATAGAAGCTCTTCCCAGGAATTTATGGTCCCCTCTCTCTCTCTCTCTCTCTCTCTCTATATATATATATATATATATATATATGCGCACACGCACACACACTACATCCATAGCAAGAAATGACATAATCTGTTGCAGAAAGATCTACTCATAAATTGCTTTGAATGGGTAAATCTTTCGTTGGCCTCAAATCTAAAATTATGTAAAGGTAAAATACATAAAATACAACTAATCAAAGATATACAACACAATTATTATTAAACTGCAAAATTTCGACAAAATGAAACAGAAATTAATGTTGCGCATAATGCATACACATAAGCACATTAAATTAACACTACACATACACAATACAATTGACCATGTAATAAAATACAAAAAATAATAAAAATAAGAATTACCCAGCCACAAGGCGAAAACCGGAATCATACCGCTGCTGATGCCGGCCCGTTCTTGCCACCAAAGTATCACACATAATTTATATACAAATTAAACCCCAAAAAAAGGAAGGAAAGAAAGAAAAAAACAACCCGTGGTTACAATCTTGTTATTATACAGGCTGCATTGACAACTAACCGGAAGCAGCTACTCTTTTGAAATGGTAAGGCCATTCTCATAGAAAAACAACAATAAATCAATAAGCGAGAAATGGCTACAAAGAAACCAACCGATTCAGTAAGAAAAACGGCAATGTGAAGGGTGTGAATCTCAGGATTCTAAGAGTAAATAACAGAGGCATTCTTGTTGTGGGTGCAATTGAAAAATGAATAATGAGAATGCGTTTGTTTCGGTGGGTTTGGGATGCAATTTGCTCCAGTTTTTTTCGTATTCTCTTATTGAAAAGCTTTAGGAGCGGATAGATGGAGAAAGGAGGGGTACATCGAGGAGTTAATTGTTCCAATGGTGTGTATATATTTGATCATTGAAGTTTAAAATGTTGAGTTTTCATCACTGAATTTAGGTCTATATTTTCGATTGCTCATTGAAATTTAAAATGTCGAATTTTCACTATTGAATTTTGAAAGATATTGTACATTTCTTATTAAATTTTGAAAAATATTGTACGTTACTTACTGTAAATTTGATATTTTTCAAAATTTAACAATTATGTTAGTGAGTAATGTATGACATATTCAAAAATTCAGTGAGTAATGTACAATATTTTTCAAAGTTCAGGAATCAAAATTCAACATTTTAAACTTTAGTGAGCACTTGAATACATGACATAAGTTTAGTGAGCAATTGAATACATGGATCGATGGAAAAAACCTCGTTCTTCAATTGGGGGGACATGTTTGAGAAGAGTTTTCCAACATTTAGAGGAGTGTTTTTTGAGACTCTTTGAGTATTGACGTATTCAATTGATATTTTTATAGACTTTTAAATAGTCCCCAAAAGTTTCGATGTATTCGATTAAATTTTTTTAGAAATCTCGATAAATTTTGGGATATTTAAATGTTATTAGCTTTTTCTTATCAAAGTATATGGGTTACTAACTTTTAAGCAAAAATACTCATGTAAATCAAATTTTCCTCTCATTAATCATAAGATTTTGGGGACTTTCAAAAAAAAAAGAAAAAAAGGATATATTTATTTTCAATATTTCGCTTTCATTTTTCCTTCTACGAAAATTAGAGTTATGATTATAATTTATTTTTTCTATTGATTATATTTTGTTTCAATTTAGCTTTCCTCTCTTATTGTTTATCTCTATTTTCTATGAAAAAGGTTAGATTGGATTCTTCTAACTTCTTTTTTCTTTTCTTTTTTTCATTCATTTTTTTGAAAAAATATCTATTTTTTATTAAATTTATTTTTAATGGCATATTATAATAATAATATTGAATAAATTTATTTTTTATCATATATATACATATATTTATTCATATATTTGATTATTATTTATTTAATTAAGGTTTAAAATTTGTATTCTTTTTTAAAATAAATTTTTTTATTTTATGAAAAGGGGAAGGAAAATTGTGGGAACCACCGCTTCATATATAAGAATTTAACATTATTGCATTAGATTCTAATGAATTCTATTTCAAATGAAAGTTTTAAAAAAAAATTTAAATTATACAAAAATCTATAAAAATTTTAAAATATAATTATATAGAAATCTAAGAAAGACTTCCACTAATTTCAAATAAATCTAAAAAAATTTCACAAACGTCATCACTTAAAAAAATTTATCTAGGTCTCAAAAATTCACAATTGAATACACCCTCTTTGCCTTTTATTATTTTCAAAATATTTTTTTTTCTTTCTTACTTTCAATCTAAATTTTTTTCTAATTTTTTAAACACATGTTATCTATCAAAATATTATTCAAAAAGTAGGATAGACCCTTTTTCCACGGGCTTCTTTTAAGTAGGTTTTGTAGACTTTTTTTGGATTTGGATATGATTTTGCAGTTTGACCTCTAATAGATCTTCTAAAGAGATAGAATTACACACACACACACACACACACACAACACTTGTGTTCAATCAACAAGGAATCCCGCGAATGAATTTGATTTGAAAAAAGAAGAAAAATTGTTTGGCAAAAATGGGAGGAAAAATCATTGACTTTTCAAAAAATTTCTACAACTACCTTTTTTCTTTGAGAGTGACAAGGAGGAGAAAGTAATTAAATATGAGAACAATACATAAGTTAGGCTTCCATTATACACCATTTCAATTTTAAGATATGATTAAATACGACTCCTAAAAATAAGCATTCTGTTACTATTTTAGGAGAATATGTTGGAGGATAAACAACGAGATGGGTCGACCTTTTCCCGCCTCGACCCATGGGTAATTCCCTGCTCCATACCCGTTTAGGGCGGGGCGGGGCGGGGCAAAATCCGTGCCCCGTTTATTACCCGTTTTCAATTTTTTTTTTGATTAAATTCAATTTTTAATAGGGGTATTTGATTATGACATTTCCATAATACAATAAATATAAAACCCCTAAAAATAAAATAAATGTTAGATCCAAACTACTTTATGTCTTCGTCATGTTATACAATTGCATGACCCATATCTTCAAAAATGATTTGAAGATTTAAATACACGACAAAAATTGCAAGTTTGAACTTCGGATAAATTACAGCATAGCGTGCAAACAAAGTAACAAACATCACAAAATGTAACACTTTATGTTGTAAATCTTCAAGTGTCGCCATCTTCTTCTAGAATGTCTATATCAGACTCCTTAAAAATTGATGACTGTAAAAGTTATTATTAGTAAGACAAATGATGTATTTAAGTATTTATATTGACGTCCATTTAAAGAAAAATCAATTTACCTCATCTTCAATATCAGTGTCACTCAGCTGTGTACAACATCCAGAGTACGATGTAGGTGATGAATTTTCTAACAATAAATAAAACTTGTTAGTAGTGAAGAAATAACAAAAATAACAATTATGAAAAACACGGATAATTGTATTTTTCGTACCATGAATGTCAGTCCATAACTAATCTCTAGCACACATCAAAGCCTCTAAAGTTTTTGGATGAATCCTAAATTTGTGTGGACTAACAAATTTACCACCGGTACCGAATGCAAACTCTGACACCACTGTAGATACTGGGATAGTTAAAATATCTCTTGTAAATTTTTGCAAACAAGGATATTTTGTTGAATTTGCATTCCACCATGCTACTATGTCAAAATCATTCGATCTAGGTAACAGAGGCTCGTCCAAGAAAATTTCAAGTTCTGACTTCGTACTATCAGTACTAGGGGTATTAGAAACAAATAAATCAAATTGTACCAACCGATCTTTTTTGTTTATGTTGCAATCAACCGGTGCATGTTTGGGCATGTTGTGTAATGGGTCACATTCAAGCATTAAGATTTAGTAGTTGATTAAGAAAGCTACATTATGAATGTAGATGTGATATCATTTTGTGTATCGTACCTGGTAGATCTCGAATTTGTTGCTTGAATATCGAGCTACATGACTGAGAAAGAAATGAACAGAGCCTGTTGGGACCTAAAACAAAGGCAACGAGATGTGTCCTCGTCGTAACCGATCTTTTTTGTTTATAGACGAAGATGCCTCGGTTTGGGTTGACAATTGAGTTACGTTCCTACTTGATCCATGTCTTGTTTTGTACTCATTTAGCAACTTGTGATAAAATTTTCTAATCTTTTCAATCTCAAGATCCGAAACTTCATTTCCATAAATCATTGGAAAATAATATACAACAAACTTCATTTTAAATCTTGGATCCAACATACCAGTTGCTGCCAAAATTCCATGAATTTTGCTCCAATATTTTTCAAACCTGTTAATCATACTTGAAGCCATCAATTTGATTTCCTCACAAGGAGACTTCATCCAATCGTAAATTGACAAATTTATCTCACAAATATTAGAAAAATAAAGATTTGATGTTGGGTACTTAGTCCCAGAAAATATTTCAGTCACTTCAAAAAATACCTCCAACCTTTCACATTTCTCGCTCGCCAATTTCCAATCTTCATCACTGGGCAAACATCTATATTGTGACTACTGTAAAGCACTATAAAGCATTAAATACGTAGACTAGTTTTGCAATCAAGTGCTAACTTTTTGGAGCAAGAGAGTTTCAACTGACGTGCAAAATTCTCAAATTTTTCTATTCTTTTTGGAGTTGTTGTCCAATATGCAACAGTATCACGAATTTTCTCAACACTCGAGTTAATGATCTCCAAACCATCTTTGACTATCAAGTTCAATATGTGTGCACAACGCATGTGGAAAAAATCACCATTTAACAAAAGCGAACTACTAGAAAGCTTATCTAAAAGAATGTTTATCATGGCACCATTTGTGGTACAATTATCGATCGTCAAAGTAGAGAACTCACGATTGATATTCCAATCCAATAAGCAGTCCATCAATGATGTACTCAGGGTCTCGGACGTGTGCGGACATGGCACATAGATGAACCTATATTTAAAATAAAAGCAACATAATTACAACAATAATAATTTTAAAGAGTTTATCAAAATAAGCTAATTAATTTATGCAATATCAAAGTACCTCATAATTTGACTTTGAAGTTTCCAAGCTTCATCTATAAAATGCGCAGTGATGGCCATGAATCCTCAGTTGTAGAACCATTAGGTCACATGGATAAAAATGTGGTCACAATTGTACCCGTTCCTGATGCTGAGAGAATAGAAAAAGGCAGAATGTTTCGTAACAAGGAAGTTCTGAAATTGAGCATGTATTTTTTTGCCATACAAGACATGTTTGAATATGAAGTAGCTTGATCAAACAAGAAGGAGTATCTTGTGAAGTGCTCACATGATGACCGTGATTGGTTAAGTAGGTCTTCAAGGTTGGGAAAAATAGAGATCTTCAAGATTCAAAATATAACTGATGGTCACAAATTTGCTTCGAACATAGTGTTAGGATTTCACAAGCAAGTGTTAACGTAGTCTGTCCTCTTTCATCAAGTATAAGTATACATCGTCGCGTATTATATAGACTCCAAATGATATATGTAATGACATGATATATACATATCGGGTTACGTTGAATTATGTTAAAGCATCGAGATCTCGGGAAAAAACTTTGAAAATAATCAGGGAAGATCCAACTGAATCATTCAGGTAGCTACCAAGTTACTTTCATATGTTTGAACAGACAAATCCTGGAACGGTCACAAAGGTGGAGGTTGATGGTCACAATAGATTTAGGTACTGTTTCATGGCACTTGGTGCATCAATTAGAGGATGGGTCTGTTGTAGGCCTGTAATTGTTTTTGACAGCGCGTAGTTGACTAGACACTACAGTGGTACTTTATAGCATATACATAGGATGCTAATAATTGCATTTGGAATTGGAGATAATGAAAATGATAGATCCTAGACATGATTTTTAGACA